AAAAAAAAAAAAAATTGAGCCCAAAAGTTCAGGGTGGGCCTGGGCCTTACTGGGCTCCGCCCCTGCATTTAGTATTGATTTAATGCTTGAAGGGAAGATGGCAAATAATTTGCAGGATTTAAACGAGCCTTGCCAGAATTAATATTTAAACAATTAAGTATAATCCTTAAAAACTCAAGAACACAAAGAAAAATGATGAATATGAATGAAAGAAAGAGTTTTAATCTTTAATTTGGAATGTAAAGGAACTTCACTTGTTTTTCATGTGCAATCCATGAACACCAATGTCATATATATAGGCCAAGTTTAGATGCACGAAATAGTGCCAAAAAACATGTGAAAATGCACCAAATTCAAAAACACCAACGGTCAAAAACTGTAAAAAACGGCCAGAATTTTGTACCATGTGACTGCATGGTTCAAATTTTTTTTTCTTTTCCTTTTACTGTTTCTTTTTCCTTCTACATTCCATTTTCATTTTATTAATATTGAACAATATATATATAACACCCAACACCAGACATCTGCTTGCTCAAAGACAATATAATGGCATCTGATACGACTCTTCACCAAATATCAACAGGTTGAAGATAAGCTCTATGGACCCCACCAAACATATAGCGTCGTGACAAGACATTAATATTCTAATTAGCTACTTAATTATAAATGTACAGCCAAATCAGAGTTGTGTATAAAGTTTCTATTCCTGTCCCACAACATAGAAAAAAAAAACCACCATTTGCTTACAATCCCTTTCCTTTTCATCATTGGATCAATGGCTATAAGTTATTCATTTCCAGCTCCAATTCCAATCAGACGGCCTGCAGCCAATAGACTACTGGTGATGAGGGCTCATAATCAAATCTCAGTTAATGGAAACCCTCTTCAGATCAGATCATTTTCCAAGAATAAGGTTTCTTTTAGCAGTTTTTAGTTCAAGTAAAACAGATATATGTCCAGTTTAAGCATTTTTCTTTTGATGTTAGGTTTTTGAAGATCTGTCAGCAGGTATTGTTTGTTATCGAGATGAAAATGGAGATATAACATGTGAAGGATTTGATGAGGGACCTCGTCTTCATCAGCAATTATCAAGGTTTACTTGTAATTCAAGGTACAAACATTATTAGATCGAATTGATTTCTTTTCTTGTTTATTCCAATAAATTTTAATTAAATCTAAACCTCTGCACTGTATATAATAACGTGATGGAGTTTGAGTGGAAGTGTGTGACGTGTAATTGCAGAGACATCGAAATTGTTGAGCTTCTTCGGAGATGTTGGGATGGGATCAAGTAGGAAGACAAACAAACGTGTTGCAGGGGATTTACAAATTATATTAATTAATGTAACTAAGTTAATAACATATGCATATATAGATGTGATTGTATCCGTCTTACACTTGCACTGATATGTATATAACAAGATATATATATATATATACAGAAATGATCTAATGAGCACCGGTGCTCATCTTATCCTAAGCACCGATGAGTTGCCACATTAATTCATTGATGGATAAAGATTTTGTGAGTTACAAGAATTACATATATTAATGTTTGGGCCAAGAATCATTACTAAAGANTTCTAAATGTCTGTCTCTGAGAAATTATTTAGCGTGAGAAATATATATATATATTTTTTGAGAATGTGTAATTAAAAAGTAGAGACTAATAGCTCAAACTTCCAAAATCTATGGAGAGTTCGGGACCGACACAGCTCGAAACAGAGCTTGACAAATTGCAGCACGTATACACATTCATGACCGCATCGATCCCTAGTCCATTTCACGAGTACATTTATGAAAGCATGAATCATTCAAGTGAGTGCAGAAAAAATGTTCATCAATCTGATAAGAAAATATCAAAAAGAATAGAGAATACAATTTTTTTGAAAGGTCATACATTACACAAAAACTGCACTAATATATTGCAGTTCACTTACAACTTGAATTATAGGTGAAAAAATAAATAAATAAAGATATTGTACAAAAATCTTTCCGGGTAGGTATCCCATAATGATGGGATATATTTAATTTCTATGTCAATAACAGCATTGTTTTCTATCTTCTGACTATATATATAAATACTCGTTGAAAAGAGAATCCAAAAGGAAAAGGCTTCTTCCAAAAGAATTTGGGAAAATAAAAATGAATTGCACAAGCATTGATAACCAAGGAGGGAATGTACAAGCAAACGGATATTACTCAGCAGAGGTCACGCCCTGTGCATTCTCTTCACATAGATTCGTCTGAGACTTGCTAGGAACAACTGTAGGAGGTGACCATTGATCTGGAACCATCAGAAAATAGGCCGTCATCGCTTTTCTGAACCTTTTTTTGTACTGCTTTGGGGAAATTACTGTCGGTGAAGCATCTTTGGGTCCACCAAGGATGCCCGACGCCTTTACCCATGTCTCAAGGTGCTTGTCCCATGTATACTGTCGCATGAAGTCAATAATCCCGAGAACAAGTTCATTCTTCTCTTCATCGACCCCAACCAGTAGTGAATAATCCATTACGTCTATCGACTGCAAGAATTAATTCAACCATTGTAAGTACGGATCAAAGGCTAATCTAAAAGTTAATATAAACCCTTAAGCGTGCTAGAGAGTTGGATGCGTAGGTAGGGGTAAGAGGGGCTTTGGGAATGAAGAGAGGTAGGAAGGCATGACACTGATGCCTCACATATATTTGGCTAGGCTTAAAAGTGTTACTCATGTCTTAAAATAGATATATTTTCAGTAATCAAAGTTGGAAACAGGTATGTTATCATTTTTTATGAGTTAACTTTTAAAAAGTAATATTAAAACATGTTATTTAAACTGGGCCAAACATGCCCAATCCAAAAATCAATTTCCGTCAATAAATATCTTGACTGTGATATCAGAAGTAAGTCCATACACGGAAAATTTCCTATGCCAACTTTAAGTGCATCTGCTTGCTGCAAAGTGAACTATTTAAGATCCAACCAATGCCATTAAATGTTGTAGTAACTGAGTACGTCAACAATAAGTAGAGAAAGATGGAAACTTACAGCAAGAAAAGCAGTATCATTCCAGACGGCTCTTTCTAAAAATCTCTTTGCTTTATTTCCAACAAAAATGGGTGACGTAGGCATTGCTTCGATCAAGTTCTGATCCAGCAAGACCTTATTACTTCCACTAGAATCAGGATTATACCGAGATCTTGAGGATCCTTTAAGATCATAAAGCCGAGTCAGATTTCTTCCAAACAGAAGATTCTCCATAACCAGTACATCCATTTTTGATTCCTTCCCTCCTTTAAGATGTTTGGACATTACCTTTTCAACGTAAAATCATAAAGTGAATGATGGTGAGTGTAATCATAGAAATGCAGTGATAAAAAATGGTGTGGGTATAGAGATATACAACAATTACACAAGGGCACAACAATCCACTATCATTTGACATGCAAATGACGTAAATTGCACAAGCTAACTACCACAAATTTGGTTATAGACAGTGAACCTCTGCATAATACTCAAATGTCGCAACGTGAACTAAGAGATATTAGTTTAGTGAAATTTAGATTCACTTAGAAATACCTGATACATCCCTAGGATCTTTGCCAGGCATGTTGGACTTCGAGAGTTGATTGACTCGGAAAGATATTTAAAATACCCAGGGGCAAACTTGATAAATGATTCCAGCTCGGTCTTTGTCACTTGCTTAATAATAAATCGGTCATCTAAGGTTTTAGCAAAAAAGACATTGCTCTTGCCACCTTGTGCTCCCCACTTCTTACACCGGCTAAGGGACCTAATGAAATCCACCTCTGATGGACAGCATATCCTCCTCAAGGCTTCGAAACGCTTTGCATAGTAACAAGTAACTGTATATTTCACTTTCCCAAGGGGCCCTTCACCCTCAAAAGATACCTTGGCATGCAAAGTTTTTGTATATGAGAGTGGATCCAAAGGCAAGGAACTACGAGAACTAGACAGAGATAAGATGCTTTCATCTCCAGAACCGAAACTTCTATAGGACTCCAGTGCTATATCATCAATAGACGAGAAGGACTGGAAATTAGAAGAATCAAGGGACTGCATACCAACCATTGAGTTTGTAGTGTCCTTTGGTCTCTCAAGCTCATCAGACACTTGGACAAGATAATCAGGAGAAACAAGTGCATAAGATATGATACTTGTGGGCTCATCATCATACACTGAAATAACAGTGTCATTAACCCCTACAGGCAAGAGTAAGCTAGCCCCACCTTGGAGTTCCAACTCTCTAAATGACGATATATAGACAGGATTGTAGTCACTAAGTGTGTCCAGTTTTTGAGCAGTCCCCGAAAAGTTTTTGTTTAATGACCGATAGAAGCTTATAAACGGCATACTTAACCAGCTCATACTATCTTCCATATTATCAGAGGGCTTGGCAGACAACACAGGAGGTGAAGGAGACACCTTCGACCAGTTGGGATCCTCTCCATGGTCTCCCACATCCAGCTTTTCTCCCAGACCAACGGAAATTGAAGAATCTGCTTCAACCAATTCAGAAATAGTATTACTCTTGGGGAATCCAATACTTGTGTGATTTTCACCGGTCCAAGCTGCATCAAGAGTATCTGATAAAGTTGCCACAATAGGGAATTGCTCATCAGAGAAGGCTCTACGAACAGTAGCATCAGATTCCAGAAGGTTGAATTCATCATAGGCCTTTGTCCCGGCAAAGGATGTTAACAGGTTTTCAGTTTCATGATTAGAGTTAGTAGCTACATCGGTTCTTTGATCACAAACTTCATAATAATTCTTGTGGCTATCTATTGACCCTAGATCATGGTTTTTGCCATGGTTTCCATCTGAGAGGACAGCATCAGAACGACCCAAATCGTTACATGTCTTAACTAAAACACGAGGGGGTTTCTCAACAGGTTCTGAATCGAAGGCATCATCCTGTTGGTTCTTGTCATCTGAACTGGCTGCATATATCAGGCGGTGGTCCCACATATAAGACTGGAAGACAAGCTGTCTTCGCAGTCGATTAAGCTCAAGAATATCAATGGCTGGTCGGCCCATTTTGGCCTCTTTATTCAAAATTTTCTGGAGTGCCTCCTGCCAAATAATCAGCATATTAGAAGTAGAGGTTCCCTCTAAAACATGGTTTGACATCAAAAAGTTTGCTTCTTTATTACCAGCTCAGTTTTGCTTGCATAAGGCAATAGGAATTAGTATGGTCCAAGTTCTTTTAGCCTACTCTGCTAACTAAAAACTCTTTTTTGTCATCCAGACTAATTCTGGCTTAAATCTAGAATAAGTATTTAGAGCAAGAAGTGGGTTCAACAGAAGTTGATTCGTAGAGCTATCTTATAAGTTTATTTGTCCAAATGTATATATTTTTCCTTCTCAGGTGAGCAACAATGTATCTCAAAAACTTTTCCAAATCTCAACCATTTATGATTTCTATGAGCCAAACTGGATTGAATAGAGATTCAATCTATTTTATCTCTAAAAAACTAGATGAATTTGGATTGGATAAATTCTAATCTAGTCTCTAAGTTCAAAAGACCAAGGGTATTTATTATATCTGGAAAGAATTATAATCAAGCTAACATTACGGGAACGTATACCACGCAAATGCAGGGGAAAACCTCCTTTCTGATCATCAGCATTGATATTTCTGATTATTCTGGCACATTTGGGGGGTAGGGGGAGAGGTGGGGGAATAATTGATTTTCTTTACTATTTGCATTTTTTCCTGGCCGCATAGGTTCTTAAGGAGGGAGATAAGTGGTACAATATGATTATTGCATCTTTATTTTGCCTGCCACATGGTTTGTCTCATTATTCAACACAAAAAAGATCATTCTTTTCCAAAAAAACTGTGCCAGGACTACGGGTATAGCAAAATATGTTCTCTGCTTCATTAAAATATAGCAGAGGATTGAATATGTATACTCCATGGCATCTAGTATACAAAAGAAAGCTCAAACATTAAAAATTGAAATTGCACCTCAAACTCAGCTTTCTCTTTCTGCAACACCCCTTCCAAATCTGCTAGCTGACAACTTGATTCATGTACTTTCATGCTACTATTAAGTGAATCTGAGCCAGATTTCTTCTCTACCAGAAGGCGGAGAGCATTTTGCACTTCAGAGAACAAAAGCTTAGCCCGGCCAGCTACCTATTAGATTTAGATAGTTAAGTGTATGCTGTGAGATTTCACAAATATGGAAATTGATAATTATACTGTTTCCACCTCATTCAGTTCTTTCTGTATCCACTCTTGACTCTCATAGTTGAAATTAAGTTTGGCGGGAGGAAGGTAGACTGAGTGAACATCAATTGATGCGTAATGAAAGCAAGCAACCATCTTGCCAAATCTGCAAGTAACATAATGAATGGCAACCATCATGGATTGACCAGAAAAAGTAAACTATCTATCAAGCTGTTTCAGCAACAGTTAGCCATCCAAAAGGAGGCAATGAGATGGCTCAATTGAACAAGTACGGTCATTGACCAGTGTAGCTCATGTCAGTGAACCCAAGTATTATATATCATAAAGTAATGAAGCCCACATATGTTAAGAGTTTTGCTCGAGTGTCAGTAAACATGAATACACATTCAAAACATTTATACTCATAGTCATTGTATAAAAGAAACTGAACAAGATATTATACCCATAAAACCGAAGACAGTCTCTATGTAAAGAATGGCCACAACTTGCCACCCTGCTAGCAGCTGCGTGATTTGAAAAGCTTAGCTCTAAAAACTTCCCAAAGGACAACCCCCAAGCAGCATCAGACATCAGAACTCTTCGAGTTGCTGGGGGGAAGCCATTAGCACGTGGACACCTCAGGCACCTGTGCCACATCCAAATCTTTCCTTCCCTTTCACCTGGCAATAGAATTTCAGGCAGTTTCTTAACCGAAATTGTAAGGGTACCTTGTCGATGAGTATAACACTGAACATGAGCTTCCGAGGGCATCTCACATGAGCGGCATCTATAACTCTGTCAAGAAAGAAAGACCACTTACTCTCGTACAAGTCTATGATGTTCCTAATTAATAGATACAAGTATAGAATTTGTCAGTGTTTGGAAAGTAAGATCATGCGTGTTGGGAGAGAGAGTACTTGATCAAATAAATGATCCCGCAGAAAACGGCCCAGTGGCTTGTCAAAGTTTCCATAGTATTTTATACGAAATAGATGGGATCTTTCACAGACAGTTCCCTTCCACACACACCGTGATGATAAGGAAACTAAAATGCTTTGATGGTCAGAGGGAGATGGAGGAAACTCTTCTTTAAGAGAAATTTGTTCCTGAAGAACATGCTCTCCATCAAATTGCAAAGACTGTGGATTTGACCTCCTCCTGTTGGCATCCACTGTGCAACAATCATTTTGCTTATTGTTGACATTGGAATCCCCAAAATCATTAGAAATGTGACCATTTTTTGTGTCAACCAGGATGTTGTCTGCTACAGAAGTTCTCCTACCTGAATATTCTGTCAAATCTGCTAGACATCTTTCTTCTGAAGCATCACCAGAAGATGAGACTAAGGATTTGGTGAAGTGAGAGCTTGTATAAATAGCAGTGCTAGTAGTCTCTGGCACTTCTTTTTTCTGAGTCGAAACACCTGTGGCCTTTACCAGATCTGAAGTATGAACATAATTTGAACTTTGAGGTCCACCAGCGTATTGAGGTCCCAGTGTTTTTTCATTGGCAGGTGCGGTAAAACCAAGTATCATTGAGATTGACCTGTCAGTACTTAATGGCTTATCTGGAAATGCTACCGTTATTGTTGAGTTTAATGGTAGTTCAGGCAGAGAGGCTCCTTCATCAGCAAGAAAAGATGTTTCTAAAGCTAGGTGATATGCTGCAAAAACTCCATACTGTACCACGTGCTTCACTTTCTTCAACTCATTCCCATTAGCGCCTCGTAGTAATATCTAAAACAAACAATATCACGATGGCCTATTAAAAACGTCATGCTTAGAGATAGACTTCATAAGCCTGAAGGTGTTGAATAGGACAAACTATATCTCCTATCAATTGATGCAAAAGACTGTAAAAATAGGTCGAATTTGGAAAATCTTCGCAGTCAAAGTTTAGCAATAGAACTATCGGGAGCTTTTGAAATTGTTTGTATCCACTTAGAACTGAAAGCAGCATATACTATAATCTCCATCGAAAAGGTTAGTAAAGTGTAAATAACTTTCTTAGACCATATCAAATCATTTGAACAAGTAATGTCTAGCATCGGTATGATTATTTTGTCCCATATTAAATGCAATAACTTACCGTGTATCCCAGTGGCTTTGGACAACCTTCAAAATACATTAGTGTTTTCATCAGCTTCTTTCCACCCTGCTCAGCGGTTCCATGCTCTTCTAAAAACCTCTCAACATGGAACTTGTCACAGTATCCCAACTTCTGGGATGAGAGATGGTCAATTGAAGAAACTATGTCACCACCTGTACAACGGGCTATGCGCTCCAAAAGTGGCCTTTTGATATTTAGAACAAGTGATATATCTTTTGCAAGAAGGTAATCTTGGGCAAATCGTGAAACAGATTTCTCCACCAGAAGAATATCAGGTTGGTGTGAATCTATTTTTGCAACAGCCATCTTAAGATGATCCATTTCCTGTGAAGGGGAGTAAACAGTCAGCACAATACACAACAAGGGAAAATTCCAAAGCTTATATAAAAGAAAATTCTAAGTAATATATTATAAAGTGGTAGAAAGGACTTTAAAGGTTTAAGTAAGAACTAATGACTAAAAATGGGTAAACTCTCTTAACCTGCTGCAACAGGGTATCAACGCTCGAAAGAAGGTTCGAAACCCGCTGATATTCAAGAGCCCCTCCAAGGATCATCAAACGAGGTTTCTCCATTTTTGATGCCATCCGGCGATGAGCCACGTTCTTTTTGCAAACAACTCCTTTGACCACCATACTATTCAAGGGAAAAAGATCTTCATAAGGTATAAGAGTTACAGAAGTACATGAAGAAAATGGCAAATTTTGGATGACTAGTACAATTCACAAAGAAAACAATATAACATATATTAAGAAATAGATGCATTGGTAAAGGCCTCACATCAACAAGTCATGCCTAAAACAGAGATCTTGCTCTTAATATAAATGCAACTTAGAAGTCAATGTCATTGTTTGTCAATGTCATAATGAAATCTTTTCTGCTACAAAAAAATTAATGTTCTTCAATGGTCCAACTATATAAAGAAGCAATATTTGAAAATGTGTTCTCTAGAATTCAATTATTACATCAAAGCACGTCATGGTCGTTATAAATATTTTTCTTCCATACTCTTCTAAAGAATATAAAAAGTGAGATCCGAGTGGAGTGATACTTTTCAATTTTCATGTACTTTCACCAACCTGTAGGACTTTCTTTGAAGTTCATGCATTTCAATAAGTCCACAATACTCTAATTAGACTTCTCCTGAATCTCCACTTCAAATGAACAATCATCTTATTCTGTCTTCCACATCAAAGCTAGCATCTAAGCCAAATACAAAAGATTTGTGAGTTCAGAGTACTTATTGATATATAGTATTTAGTTCATCTTTATTTGTACTGTTTCATACACAATTCAATCTTGCTCTTATCTTAGACACCATTGCCTCAAGCTATGCTCTTCACGACTATATTTAGAATTAAATACTGCTTCAGTATCAGTGTATCAACATCCTGGACAAGATACCATCTGCAGATAACATATAAGTAGAACTTTGTCATGTCTCAAGTCAGTTTATCCCTATCTAAAGCACAAGCACGTGCTCAAGGCCAACTACTGATGTATCAAGCTGAAAGGTTTCTCAAAGAATTGTCTTGAAATGGTCACAGGCCCATAACAGACAACCTCTATAACATTGATTTGACAACATTTTCATCCTTTACCTGTAATACCTTCCATAATATATCTCTATGAACCTTATCAAGGATCTTCAAACCAACGAAAACCATATGCCTTCAAAATTATTTTGCACGTATATAACTAAATGGGCTGTCCAGGATCGTTTCAGTCCCACGTCTAGGCCCAATTACTCTCTCCCAATACTTCATTGTATGAGTTGTTAAATGGGTGGCACAACAATTTGCAGAATTGGGAATATCTGTCTTGTATTCTTAAAACCACAAGTGCTCCTATTTCCATTCACCTGGAATTTCCCTAGTTAACACATTAATAAAATATATAAATCTAACCAAAGACACTTCCAAACCCAATACAAATACCATCCTATCTCAAGGCCTTTCCGAATCTCAACTTCCTTAAACAAAAATAATTTGCAGAATTTTATTTATATTCTATATCTCAAAATAAACGAGGTTCAAAAGATTAAAAAAGAAAGAAGACAAACCTATCAATTTTTCATTATGATATTATTCTACCTCATGAGACATCTGAAAATGGCCAATAGTTTAATCATGGTTGAAAAAAAAATGATATTTTAATTTTTAGTGATTAAGGATTAAAGTTGTGGTTGCAAAGGATTTTATTTATTTGGATCTTCCTATGGATGTAGCGAGAGAACAAACAGATCCATTCCGACGTGATACATATGACCAACCCAAGTTGGGATAGGTTTAGGTTGTTGTAGTGTTAAGGATTAAACTCGTACTGCCCTTTGAATGTGTCAAGATGATCAAAATGTCTTCCGGATTTGCCATATAGAACTTCTTAACAATGAATGGCTACTCTGACCATAAAAATTACTGATTAAAAAGTAAAAACTCAAAAGTCCAAATTTAAGAACATTGCGAATATCATAAACTTCAGTATGGTAACATCAAAACTAATTATAACAGAAGCACAGGCAAAAGGCAAGTAAGAGAGATAAGCGAGCAGTGCAAATAATAGGCTTCAATTATTGTTTCCCTTGCAGGAGTAATAGCAGGTTTAAGAGGTACGCTCGGAAACGTTCTGAGACTAAAATAGGTACTAGGGAAGCGAGCAGTGCAAATAACAGGCATTAATTCTTATTTCCCTTGCAGGAGTAATAGCAGGGTCAAGGCATGCCTGGAAAATGTCTCAGACTAAAATAGGTACTAGGGATGATACTTGAACTCCTTTAAGCAATTAGCTCTTGGATGACTGCTAATTTTGTTGTTTTAAAGTACCAGAAATAAAAGAGATAAGATCTGTCAAGTTTCAAACTAGTATAGAGTGAAGTAGGCGTAATTAACATGCATAATAGATGAGCAAGAGCAGTAAATGTAGCATATTTACAAGTAATTACCTCTCACTGCGATGCCCAGAAGCTAAACATTTTACTTTCACATATCCTCCTGGGTCCATTTGCCCACCCTTGCTTGTATCTGGCTTTAATAATGTAGCAGCTTCCCATGACAATGATGTAATTATATCTAACCAACCATCTTTGTCATCTTCCTCCCCTGAAACAAGGTTCTCCACCTGCAAGAGCTGAGAAACTAAAGTCCTAAAATGGATGTCAACCACATTCTTCATGCCCTTTTTCTCATTTGATTTGTCCTTACTTCGGTACTCCCCACTCCCAAAACTGCTTGAAGTGCGTAAACATCCCCACTCTCCAGTGGCATCAGCATCTTCCTCATCATCAAACAAGAGTGTTTCCCTGTCATCTTCTTCGTCTTCTGGTTCAGGAGGGAGCCAAAGAAGTCCATTGTTTTCAAAATCCACAGGTTCAGTATCAACATCTTCAACAACGTTAGCATTACAATGGAATGAAGGTGCTTCACATTTATCACCAATCTCATGTTCACCTTCTTCTTCAAGAATGTGCTGGACTTCTTCGGGAGTCTGGGAACCAAAACTATTGTGGAATGAAGAGCTGCACATACCTTTTGAATCAACAGCATCGCTATCCGGATGCACTTTGCGTGATACATAATCACTCTCAATATCATCAAACTGAATATGACCATAGCAGCCATCAACCGGAGAAAAATTTCTTCTTTCTGAATCTGAATGATAAATTCCAAATTCTTCATCATCGTCACTCCTGTGTACAAGATATATTTATATAATAAACAACTGTTGCAATAGATAAATTCTGCATATGCAAATATATTCAAGTTTCCTACTTGCAGAATAACATCCCATGTGCTGTATAATATTAATACCTAGCATCATTCCAGCATTTTGTGAAAGACTTTTACAAACCAATTTCTTTGGCAGCCAGTTCACTGGAAATAGTTTTACAATCAAGAATGAACCAATTGCCTTATTCTAATATATCTCTAGAAAATTGTAGGGATATGTGGCAACTCTTCCAACCTTATGCCATTATTAAGTAGAAACTCACAGTATACTTTCCCCAAAATACGCAAACGTCAAATGAATAAATCAAAATAAGCCCACAAACTTCAAATGCATTACTTATGCAGCATGGATATGTTTAGCTATTATATAGAGGTCGGATAAATGTAAATACAGTATGCAACGCGTATAGACACATATACAGCAACTTGATGGAAACTAGAAAGCAACATCATCTTAAAGTATTTGTCGTTTTTGTACAAATTGCTTCTTAAACATATCTGGGGTGTTACAAGCCAGTTAGATAGAGATCTCAAGTCAATGCGATGGTTACATCCATATAGAACCAATCTAGCAGACACTGGCAATGCCTCTTTTCGATCTGAACCAGACATTAGCCACTGAGAGACTGGATGGCAAGGACTTGCAGGGCAATCCCAAGGGAACTTGGCAAGTAACGTATTAAGGTTCAACACTCTCAGGCAATCTACCCATTTTAAGCATGGATTGGAGTTACTATGTCAGTCCTACTTAGTACAGGTAATCAAGAGTATTTATTGCAAGAGGAATGCAGAAAGAAGAACCTGTTTGTGCAAATTTCAAATTCGTTCACAGAACTATTCGGTTCCCCCGTTTCTGCAGAATGATTATTGTTCCTCACGTATGAAAGGGCTTGAGTCTTTTCCATTATTGCTGAATGAAGTGGGGTAAGTCCAGAAGACTGTGGCACTGATTCAAAGGTAATGCTGCTACTGTCACAGGTTCCACTAGACTTGATGCTGATGAAGCTGGTCACGGATGACGAAGTACTGTTGAGATCCAGGTTGTCAACCTGGATCCCATTATTAACAGTCGATGTTAAACCCTTTACCCATTGATTGAAGCAGTAATTACAGGACCTGATCTTATCCCAATCTTCCTGCCGCCTATTTTGGTCGCTAGATGGTGCAGAAACCCAGTTTGAAGTACACTTGGCACAGAAAACTCTACCGCAAAGTCGACAGTGATGCCTGCGGTTGAACAAAGTGAATTGTGAATCACAATTGTAGCATACCCTACAGCTGTGATCGGGCATCCAAAAGACCCTTGACACATTAGTTGGCTCGGACCGCCAAGGAATCCAAGATTTTAACAAGCTCACTAGATCAGAGAATGTATTACTATCCGAGGCATCCATGGCCTTAACAACCCTCCCTTACCTCTCATTCTGATATTTTCATTCGCTTATTGATCTCAAATCCATTTTTGATCCCCCAATACCACTTTACATGATAGCAGAATTCAACTCTAAACAATAAACCGATCACCAAGCAGGGTCAATCAATTATCTTCCAACGAAATGCAACGCCCACAAATTCTTGCTCAAAGTCCCAAATTCATTGAAAATTCACTACAAGTAAACTATAATTCTCTCAATTAACACCCCACCATCAATGCGTACACGAGCTGCAGCAAGCCTTCATTCTCTATTAAATACCAAGAAAATCGACAATTTCTCCCCAAATTTTCAATTTAATAGAAAGACAACTCCCATAATTTTCATTTCATATTCTCTTAACCACAAATTCAATGAACACGTGCAGAACCCTAAATTTTAATTTCGATTTTCAAAACATCAACCCAGTACTCAAAATTCAAAATTTGAATATACATGCACAGAAGAGACAGAAAGGAAATTCAAAATGTCGACAAAAAAAGAATGAAAAAAGAAAAACGCTACGTAATATGTGGATAAAAAATCCAATTCAAATCGGTCTCTCGTCAATTCACTCAATCTCAAAAATTATATGAATGCTCGTTCAAGAAACCCACCGAATGTCTGTTTATTTTCCCCTAAATTTATGTAAATGCCAATCATATCATAAACAACAAAAACAAATATATAAAAACACACCCTGAAGATTAATCAATTAAAATAAAGAGCGTCGTGAAATGACAATAAATTATGGAGCAACTGTAGTTGTGCTGGCGTGAACCCATCAGACAATTATTGGGAAAAAATCCAATGGGATTGAGCCATGTTAACAGAAAATGCATGTGTTTCAGAGGAGCGATCGCATTCGCTAATTATTTTTGGAAAATTTCATGTGCGTAATTTTGATCATAATTTCACTTTTCTTATAAAATTTTATTTTATGATAATTTAAAATTTTATTGTGAAATTCGAACAATAACGAAACGTGACATGTATCAATACTAAATTGCTCTTTAACAAAAAAAAAAAAATCGAACCATACATGAGACCTCGAGGAGTCTTAAGATGTATGGTGTTTTAAAAGTAAAATTTGGCATTTGTCATATTCATCCACAAATTTTATTGGGACACTGAACTTTCAAAGCATCACGCGTCAAACAACATGAACATTTCATCGCAGCAAAAAAATTTCTTCACACCATACTTGAACTTGAGTATAAAGAAACACGAGTTTTTCATTGTATAGTAAAATTAATATAAAAATATAAATTCTTATACAACAGCATAAATCTAACCACACATCATGAAGAGTGAGTTCACGAGTCAGAGACAATAGCTTAGTTTAGGAAAAATCGAACATTTAGTGAACTTAGTGATGGCAAATGAACCAGTCGATTCGAACGACTGGCGTCTTAACTTAAATGAGATTTGGTCTGGGTCTGACTCAGACTAGCCCGTGAGCTACATGAGCCCAAATACGATCAAGTCGTATGTGAGCTTGTGTAGCCCGCCTTGCATAATTAATTTTTAAACTATTAAATTGATGACCGCTTAGTTTGTAAAATCGTATGTGGGCTCATGTAGCCCGCCTTGCATAATTAATTTTTTAAATTATTAAATTGATGACAACTTGGTGAAATTCAAAACTTGCATAATTTATTTTTTTAAATTTTGAATTAATTCTGCAGTTTATAAATTAGCCATCAATTTTTTATATATTTGAGTAAAAAAAAAAAATAGAAAAGTACTTGAGTCGGCTTGGCCGGGCAAAGCCTGAACCTTTTTTTTTTTTACGAGTCGATATCGAGCCTTGAGCTTGGGCTCGTGAGTCAACTCGACTCGTTGCCACCACTAAGTGAACTTGAGTCTTTATAATGCAATTGTCATTGTTTATAGATCCCCATATCGCGAATCACAATGAAACTCGTGTCAAATCTGAACTCAATAAATGCAAAAATGAGCGAATAAATAGTGGTTGGATGTATATCTTTGCTCGAACCCATAGCCATCAGTTCTTCTTGAAGTATAATGTGCTACGTTAGTAATTGCGTGAATATCTAGAAAATAATATATAACCCGTTTGACCCCCATTAGTTCACATTATAATGAAAAGAAATAGTAATTTTTTGAAAAATGTGTTATTAAAAAAGAAGATTTTTATTTTATTTTATTTACATGTAATATTATTTTATTGAAAAATATATAATTAATAGGAATAGAGAGAAAAATAAATTATAATTTAATGCAGAATAATGGAAATCAAACGAAAGCATGGTTTCAATGTAAATGGAGTAAAAAGGGAGTAAACTCTCTCTTTGGTCTCGAAACAACAATTCAAGGTTCATTTATTAAATTTTTCTATGGAGTTAGAATTAGTCGAGTTAAATGTTTCGTTGACCACCGAACTTTATCAACTGACTCGTTAACCACTAAAATTTCATCTGTCTCACTCCGTTAACCTTCAAATGAGATCCGTTAACAGATCTACTTATGTGGATGATGGCAGGGACGGACACAGACTTTTTATGTTGAGGGCAAAATCAAACTTTCAAAAAGTGACAAAAAAATTAAAGTAAGAAATATTTCATTACAATTGTTCTCTACGTGTTCACATATTTTGATAACGTTCCATAAGTAAAGTGGGAAATAGAGAAAAATTTAATATAGTTTCGTAATTCAATTTAACAAAGAAATATAGTATACAATTTTAATCATCAAGAGCTACACAAACTTTGATAGAATCACAGTTACAGATTTATATGTAAATTTCTTAAATTAAAAAGTTCTGTCAAGCATTAGAGAGGCCCGACTCTCTCACCAACTCATTCCCTAATTATCTGAAGGTTTCAAAATACACATCTCCCCCTTATTTATTCAATTTGGGACTTAGTTGGATGTTACAGGAAATTTTCCAATTACCCATCTCCGGATCTCCCTATTGTATTATAATCTCAGCATTATGATCACATATTCACATTCACGTAAACTTCAAAGTTCAAAAACACCACTGTCAATCCGTCATTACCAAATACCAACCCCAAGATATCACAGATTCGCAATTTATTGTACTAGCCTATTAGTAATAATAAAGT